AGTTTGCTTCATACGTGTCTGTCCTCCTCCTTCTGCGCATTGTGCTCAGCCTGCCAGACGCATCACGAGCTTATATTGCATGGTGCGTACGCTGGTATTTCTTGCGATGACGTTTGACTTTCCACATGTTTCGTTGCTTTATATATATTGGTGTGTGTAGTTGGTGGTATTTTTGGGGATTAGCCTTTTGTTTATCTTTGTTTTGTATATTTGTGTGTTTAGATGGTGAATGAATTAATGCTGTGCGGATTAAGTCATGTTTTTGCTCTTTTTTTTTGTGTTGTTGTTGTTGGTTGGCTTTGTGGTTTGTTAGGGCTTTTTGTGTGTTGCTTGAGAACCGTTATTATTGTTATTACTTCTGTTAAATTTCGTTTTGCTGAGTGTTGTTTGGGGGAGTGCCTGAAGTGGATGAAGTAGCATACAGAAGGGGGTAGGCTCTACAGATAATTATTGCTAGGCGCGTAGAGGTGTTTACTGAGCCTCAACTTTCAGGTGTGGACCTACGCACGCACACGAGCTGAGTGAGGGAAGCGACGCAGCGCGCAGAAGGCTTTTTGTTTGTGCAGTGCGTGACAGCAGCTTTGTGGGCGATTGTCGACGTGGAAAGGAGGACGCTGAGTTGTGGAGAAAACGAGGGTTAGGAAGAAACGCGGGCCTCTTTTAGAAGTAACTGGAGTGTAATTTTTTGTCATATACAAAATACGTGGGTACGGGCATTATATACAATTAGAGGAGGTAATTAAGACAAAAAGGATAAAACAAGACAAATGGTATTGGCGTTTTGCCATTATATTCCACGTGATGTGGTGTTGCAAGTTTGTTTATTTTTCCTCTTGTTGTCGTGTATTTTACAGGCCATTCTGGTTGGAAGTCATGGAAAGGAAAGAGGTTCTGGCACGATTGGCCCACGTGATGCCACCATTGTGGCAGGTGTGTTGGTGCACATTGGAGCTCGTTCTGCGATATACACAACAGATCAAACCAAGATTTGTGTTTGGTCAAGTAATTCTGACATTGTTTCTGTGGGGTGCGCACGTTTTGTGGAGGCGTTTCACGTGGTTAGAGGACCTTTATTATCTAGTTTCATTGTGAGCGTGCTGTCACTGTTGTTTGCTGTGTTTTATGTCGTTCCAATGAGCAGGACAACCACCGCTTTGGTGTTGCTCGTGCAATTGCCCTTTTTTTTGCCGACTGTTTTACACACGGCAGCCGTTGTTTTTTTTTCCATCGATGCCGATACTACGCAAATGATGTCGCGAGCCGAAGTGTCTTTTCTGGTGCAAAGGTGAAATTTCGCTTGGGATATTTGCCAAAGGTGGCTATTGCCTCAGAGGTGTGTTTGGGAGCCGGGTTTTTACTGTGTTTTTTGCGTCTTTTGGTGACTCTTTTTTATCGGCCGTCGGTGAAGAGGCGTGACGTGGTACGGCGGGACATTGGACATTTTATGCGGCGCCACTTGGTGAACGACGATTGGGAACGTCAAAAGGCAGTACTGCAGTCGCATGCGCGCAGTGTGCAGTTAGAGATGGTCGTGTGCGAGGATGATGTGGAGGCAAAGGATAATGGGGTCAGAGTGGGCAGCACAAACAATGGAGAGTCGGAGGAGGGTGGGACTGAGGGCTTTATGTTCAGGCCCACACCAGCCCACTCTATGGTTATGCTTGAGACTGGTAAGGGAACGGGAGGCCCTTCGGTGTGCAACGAGCCATTGTATCACCCACGGAGTGAACCGTGAGGCGGAGTATTGAGTGGTGTTTGGGTGCTGCGGTGTGTGGCTGGAAAAGGGGGACGTTGTTTTGTATCATTACTTCCCACTTCCCTATGTGTGTTCACTGCCTGCATGAGTAGGAAGAAGGGTGATAAAGAAGGCAATGCGTGTACACGTGTGAGGTATGGGGGAAGGCAAGGAGTGCTAGTAGTTAACAACGTTCCAGTTGACACCTCTGTTTGACTTCTTCTTCCTACTTCCTTTTTGTTTCCTTGCTTCATTTGATTCTCGTTCCATTATTTAAATGCTTTATTGCTTTTTGTCATCGTAGGTGGCGTCGTCCCTTTTTTTGTTTTGCTTCTGTTTGGCTGGCCCCCTCCATATTCATATTTTTTTGTATCTTTTTTTTCCTTTTTTATATTGTTTTGTCCTTTATTTTGCCTCCTCGTGCGAGAGGCACCAACGGAGCTGGTTTCGGGCCTTTTGTTCGTGCGTTCCCCCCCCTGTTGTTATTTTGCCTAAGAAAAGGAACGGAACGGAGGTGCGAAGGTGCGCGGGCTAATAGTCCCAACAGTAGCAAGAGGAAAAACAAGGAAGACACGGCGGTAATCAAAGTAGGGGAATACGGCTGTATTCCCACTCTCCCTCGCCAGAGGGAAAATGTTACGAGATGATTTTTCATGTGCCATCTGTTACGATTTGGCGACTGAACCGGTTGTGACGCGCTGCGGGCACCTGTTCTGTTGGAATTGCTTGGATCACTGGCTGGGGCGGCGCGATGCAGTGCTTGAATGCCCGGTGTGTCGTGGCCGTGTGGACAAACGGTTACATGGGGACATTATTCCGCTCTATGGTAAGGGCAGGCAAACACACGCAGCAGGTTCCTCGTCGTCAGTAAAGTCCTCTTCAGTACCGCAGCCACAATGCCACCAAAGTCAGGAGCAACCACACCGTCCACGCCCTGCCGCAGATCGAGCACCGCCTGTGGAGCGCCCGGGGACGGGTTATGTCAACCATCCCCTTTCATTGGGAATTGGTAGCTCTTTCTTTATTTATGGAGGTAACATGAGTCTGACCCTTGTGCTCGTAGCTTTATGGGCCATCTATCATTTTGCCCCTTGGCGCCAGGTATTAGCGAGTGTGTGGGGCGGCAATAGCAGCCAGGAGAGAACGAGGGAGACTGCGCAGCATGAAAATAATGCGGATTCCGAAGTTCGTCGAGCGCTTAGGCCAGATACAGTAGTTCGAAGGGTGCTTCTATCTGTGGTCATTGCATATATAATTCATTTCCTTTTTGTGGTTTGATTGTGTGCAGACGTGAGTGTGAGCTGGGTGAAAGCATGTGAATGGGCGAGGGGTAAAGAAAAGGCGAAGAGAAAACACGGAAGAGTTAGAGTAAAACCAAAACAAACGTTTACGGAAATTGCGGTTACTGGCGGCGGTGGCAATGGAATAAGGAACAAAAGGTGTGAATGCGTGACAGAGATGATGTAGCGAAACAGCAATGAGGGAAACAGAGGGGAAGGAGGGGAACCGACAACCAGCATACCACGAGGAGAAACTTACCATTAGAATCCTTTTCTGTGTGTATGCGTGTGAGGCTGTATGTGCAGACTGTTTTCGTCGGTGGATTTGTCTGGGTTCATCGCACTATTGTCATCTGTTCCTTTGTTCAACGAGTTATCTGATATGCTTTGCAAGGACGTCTGTGGAAGTGGTGTGCAGGCGGATGGAGCTAAATAAATGAAGGGGGAGCGCGCTGTATTTGGACTACCCCCTTAGTGCATTCTTTGAGCCTTATTTTCAAAGGGACCGCGTTGAAAGGCGATGTGTGCGGTTTCTTTTCTCCTCCCGTCCACCCCTTCACTGCCACCCACGCGGAGGGGGCGGAGACTGTGGGGCTCTAAGCACTACCACCTCGCACGGGTATTCCGGCCCCTGTTATTACACTGTGATATTTTTTTTTACTATTCGACACATGTTAAGAATAAAAAAAGCAATTGTCCAACGCACGTTGGATGAAGTTTCTTTCAGGTAGAGTGTGTTGAGCAAATTGAACCAAACTGTGACCTTCCAGTGTTGACCCTTCCCTCATTGTGGGAGCGTTGTGGTCAGCCTGACCAAGCTGGTGGAAACGTTTTTTTTTCGTAAGGATGTCTGTGCACGTGGCTGCTTTACTTATGAACAAGGCATAGCAG